ACATCATGGGACCGAGGGAGCCACGTGGGAAAGTGAAGAGTTGATGCGACACCAATACCCCCATTTGTTTGAATAGTTGGGTTGGGGTGTAAATTTCGAGGACGAAATTTTTGTAAGGGGGGAAGAGTTGTGACATTCCGAATTTCGACCCATTTTTGGGATTTATAAAACGTGTAATTCGTCAGTGTGCTTATAGTAAAATCTCGCCCGGGAACTGATCACTCCCGGTTATTGTTTTTAAAAAAAATTGAGATTTCGCTAGAATCGCATTCGATCGAATTTGGCCGTTATTTAGAGCCCAAACTTTGGCGTCGAATTTCTCGAAATTCCGGAACGAATTTAATTGGACGGTGTCGATATTAGTGTGGTCAATCTCGATATTACGGGATACGTGAAAAGTGAATTTTTGACCGGGTGCGAATTTGGGTAGTAGATCGCGCAAGTGTGTTTTTATTAACACCCTTTTGGCCAAATCCTAAAAATATTAATTAGGATTTTTTCGGGGACCGTCGGATCATTTTTCGGGTTTAAACCGTGGCCGTTGGATCGCGATTATTGCGATTTGACCTTTGCTTTTTCTCTCTCTCTCTCTCCTCTTTTTCCGCCGGTCTCCCCCTCCCTTTTTGCGTGTCTGACCACCAAACCCCCCACCTACCTCACTAGCCCCATCATTTCCCCTTTTCTTCTTCTTTTTCTTTTTCCCTTCTCCTTTTCCTTCGCTGGTCTTGCTTCTCCCTTGCTTCTGCTTCCCGTCGGCTACTGCTTCTGCTTCTTCATTTTTGCTGCCGCCGACTAGCCCTTCTCGCCGGAACCCGGCCACCCGCCGTGCGTCGTCCACCTCCGCCCGCTCGTCACGAGTCGTCCCATTTGCCGGGCGCCACCGCCTGACCCTCCAGTTTCCATTGTTCTCCCGGCAAAGCGCGGCAGCGCCTCGCCGGAGCCGATCGCGCCTCCGTCGGCCCGGCCGTCATCCTCCCGCCGCGAGCAACCGTCGCTGCGCCTTCCCCCAACCATCGTCGTCAGTCCATCGTCCGACCGAGCCCAGTGTCCGCCTTGTCCGGCCGCCGCGGTCAAGCTCCGCTCGCCTCCGTCGCCCGCCACCGCCGTCCGGCTAAGCTTCGCCGTGCGTCGTCGTCCACCTCCGACCGTCGCAGGCTAGCTTTGTCCCAGTCGGCAGGAACGGCCAAGCCACGCGAGCAGCTTGACCCATGATGGTAGCCTGTCTCCTCGCCGCGCTCGTTCGCCGTCCGTCCCGGCCGCCGAAACCGAACCGGAAGCCGACCGCGGACCGCCCTTGTCGCCGCCGTCGTCCTCGCGTCGTCGCCGGCGTTAGCCGAGTAAGTTAACCCCTAATCCCGTGTTTAGGGTGTTAAACTTGCTTAGGGTAGTTTATGTTAAGTTTAATTAAGGTTTAGATTAAATTAATGTTGAATTATTAGATAACCTTTGGTGATAGGTTATCGTTCGTGTGATAAGTTATCGTGATGTGGTGATAGGTTATCAATTATATTAATATTGTTGATTATTTTATTAAATAAAAATATTTTCGGAATTAAATATTATTTTATTATTTTCGGATTTAAATATTAATATTTTATTATTAAATAATTAATTTCCGAAAATTAAATGTTATTATTTTCGGAAATTTCTAACGTCATATTGTGATGCCAATGTTGGATTTTACCGTATAAATTGGCATTTTTAGGAAATGATTTGAATGATTTCAATTCGAGGAAATATTTTGACATTTTGGAATATTATATTATTTTCGGATATTAGTAATTAATTAATTCCGAATTTAATTTATTGTTATTTCGGAAAATTTATAATTTCAAATTATGATTTCTAGCTTGAATGTTGGCGATTTTGCCGTGTATTGTCATATTAAATTGATTTTATGGCAAATTGTTTGATCGAAAGTTTCTGTGGAAAATTTATGAGACTTTTGGAATTAAATTATTTTATTCTGTTATGCCAAGTAATGTTAGTGATACTTTGCGATTGATATTCGTGTTTGATATCGAAGAGTGCAAGAATTGATTGACTGTTTGCATGTGTGACCACTTGGTTTGTTATGCGGCATTGTGGGAGCACTATTCATGGACGCATGGGCTAATTGAAAAGATAATAATTGGCCGGTATGCTTGTGTGCTCGTGTGGTCACACGTTAAAGCCGTCTTGCTGTGTATCGCTTGACGTTGCCCGATTTATCGGATGCCTGGGGATAATACTGAGTGCCGATACCCGGATGCCTTGTCGCGGCCCGAGGCCGGACTCGATGCTCCTTACGGGATACCATCTGTGTATCGTTTGATGTTGCCGTATTGGAATGCCGTCATCCCGTGTATCGTTTGACGTAGCCGTGCCCGACGGGGCGGGACGGAGCCCGGTTTTACCGGTAGACCGCCATCTTGCTTGCGTATCGCTTGATGTGTGGTGGCCCCGAGGGGCGTAATAGTGGAATACGTGTGATGCATAGTGCTTGATTATGGGGTAGAAAGCTGCTAGGCATGGTATGGGACGTGCCCAAGCGGGTTTTGCCTTATAATCGAGACACGCTGACTTGTGTTGCATTAATGCATGGAAAATCTCGTTAAATGCTTCGAGTATGTGACATATGCATTTCATCAACGTGTGTACCAAGGCGAGGTGAGGATGCCTGTGGTTGTTAATGATGTTGTTGTCGTCGTTTCGCCTGTTTAGGGACCCCCGTGCGAGTTGGCCTCCTAAGCGGGGCTTAGGCCGTTAACTTATTGAGATTTTATCTCATTTGTTGTTGTTAAACCTTTTTCAGGACCTTAGCTTGTCGTTGCTTCTTATGCGGTTTGGAGTACCGCAGTTTTTGGGTTGGTCCTTGAGGGTTAGGCCTGGAAGCTGATCTTTTGGATGGAGTAAATTAACCCTAACCTTTGTCTTTTGCTGGCTTTTGTGAAAACGCCCGGAGTGGGCCTGTAAGTATGTTCCCAGGGGTTAATCAAGTGAATATTAAAATGGCTTTTGTTATGTCTGGTTTTCCTCTCGCTATCCCTGATTTAATTATTGTCTGGGGATTATTGTGTTGGTTATCGTTTCCGCTTGCGTAATTCAAAGATAAAAAGAAAAGGGTCGGCGACGAGTCCTGGGTCGTCGCATCATAACGACCATAGCGGGATGTCGTGCGCCCGCGGGGTTCGGGGCGTGACAATCCCCGTCAACGTCAGCGGTATTACGTAAATCGGCCGATGTTTACATCAATAATATTCTATTAAAATTGACAGAAAGAACTGAATTGATGTAAAAATAAAAAATTTGAAACTTAATTAGTATAAAAAAAATTTAAGATTAAATTGGTATTAATGTAAAATATTTAAGATTTTTTTGATATATTTTTCTATAAATAAAGGGGTATGATGGAACTTCCTCGTAAGCCGGGAAGAAGGGGAGATTTGATGGGCTAAGTCCGCGTCATGGGACCAGCGCATCATAAACTTAAAAAAAAAAAAGGCAAAAAGAAAGAAAAAAGGGTTTGAACGTTAAGAGAGAGAGAGAGTATGTTCGCTAAAGAAACGAAAAAAGAAATAGATGCAGACAGGGAGAGTGCACCTTTAAAGAGGAGAGGGGATCAGATTCAACGATAAAAATCTTGTCGAATTGGTTGAAATTTTAGTAAGTTGTTCGTTAGATCGAGATCTACAAGTTGATCGTTTCTGTTTGTTGAAGTCCTTCTCCAAATTGTCTCCAATTTTTACCTTTAAAGAGGAGAGGTGATCAAATTCAACCATAAAAACCTTGTCGAATTGGTTGAAATTTTAGTAAGTTGTTCGTTAGATCGAGATCTACAAGTTGATCGTTTCTGTTTGTTGAAGTCCTTCTCCAAATTGTCTCCAATTTTTACCTTTAAAGAGGAGAGGTGATCAAATTCAACCATAAAAACCTTGTCGAATTGGTTGAAATTTTAGTAAGTTGTTCGTGAGATCGAAATCTGCAAGTTGATCGTTTCTGTTCATTGAAGTCCTTCTCCAAATTGTCTCCAATTTTTACCTTTAAAGAGGAGAGGCAATCAAATTCAACCATAAAAACCTTGTCGAATTGGTTGGAATTTTAGTAAGTTGTTCGTGAGATCGAGATCTACAAGTTAATTGTTTCTGTTTGTTGAAGTCCTTCTCCAAATTGTCTCCAATTTTTCTGGCCGTACCTAGATCTTCTTGCTTCTTTGTATTAATCTACCTTTGTGGTGATGAAATACTGTTGTATTGTTGATGTGTTGTGTATCAACTCAATCCGACAAGGGCGGGGACTATTTATCGAGACCAGAGGGTTCGAACAAAGAGCGACTCTTAATAAGTTTTTATAATAGTGAAAGGAATGAGAATAAACCGAATTGCGCACCGAACAGAGGAAAGGCGTTGTTGGGATATACATATGAAATTGGAATTAACTCATAAGAGGCGCCTTTTCGACTGACAACATGACATTAAAGCGAGGCCTTCTCCAATAGGTGTGTGGTTTGGGGATGAAAAGCTGATAGGTTTTGTAAAGACCCGATCTGACAAACGTTAAGAGTGTTCACTGAGGCCGAAATACCGTTCCGGCGGTTGCTGGTAGCCTTTTATGAAAATTCTAATTCTTTTGAGTTAAATGAGAATTAGCCCTTCACCGTTTAGGACACCATAATCGTCACTACACAGCGATAACTTCCCGACACACAAATTCCCAAAAAAATATATATATATGGGTCGAGTACCGACGTTCCTTGGCCCAGGTGGTAAGGAGCCTACCTAGGTTCCCTTAAGCAAGGTCTCGAGTTCGAGCCTTTGTGTATGGAGCAAACGGTGCTGGGAGAGCCACCCCCTTGCGGGTCCGACAGTGCTCAATTCCGGATTTAGTCGGGACTACCACGGATACCGGAAGGTCATAGACAAAAAAAAAAAAGAAAAGAAAGAAAAGAAAAGAAGAAGAACAAAGGGGTGACTCTTACCAAAGGTTTTTACACAACCGGAGAGCAAAGGGGATTAACGTACCTTCACGGAAGCTGTGGATTAGCTCTTGGAAGGCTGATAAATTCGGATATATCGGTGTCGCCTCGGTCTGCTCTGTTTCTCCTTGCACTAGTTCGGTCGCCATCTTTCGGAACCCGCTGCGAACACACAAGGAAATGCCTGTGAATGTGGGATGTGAATGCCGAAGGGCCGGCGTACATATAAACGGACTTGAGCGAGAGGGGGGGCCCCTTGATGAGCCAAAATTCATGGACCATGTCGCCCCGCGGTCTTACGAATTGTATAATGGCATTGCCCGTGGTATTACGAATTGTGTAATGGTATGGTTAGACTTATATGTTGAGAGGCGTACGAAGGAAGAGGGGACCGCTTGATGAGCGATTGCGAATTGTGTAATGGTATTGTTAGACTTATATGTTGAGAGGCTTACGAAGGAAGAGGGGACCGCTTGATGAGCAAGCCAAAATTCAAGGACCGTATCGCCCGTGGTGTTACGAATTGTATATAATCGTAGAGTTGGACAGTGGACTAATATGTTGGGAGGCGTACAAAGGAGCGTCGCGTGGTTGACAGCGCCCCAATCCACTTGCCAACGGCGACGCTCTATCCACTTCCGAACGGACAGGACCACTCGGATCAGACTATCGGACTAGACAGGACTACTCACTACTTCGGATTAGGAATCGGATGGACAGGACCACTCCAATCAGAGCGCCTCCTTTTTTTTTTTTTTAAAGCAAACCGTAATTAGTAAATTATATTTTTTTTGTTTTACTGTTGGGACTGCTATACTTGCAAGGAACAGAAGAACAAAAGAAGAAGAAGAAATCACCAGTTCCACAAAAAATTGTGAACCAATCTTGCCCAGTCCGGTTCCGCGAAGGGAACCCATCACACCTAGGATGTAATAATTCCACACCGTCCAGATTATGCTCGATTCGTCGTTCGAGCAGCACGACGAATTCAAGGATATAGCTCAAAATGGCTGCATTGAAACATTGGCCGATATAGCTCAGAGACATGTCGACATTTCGTAAGGAGCCAGAATTCAAGGACCGTTTGTCGATTTTCGAACACGAGAAACACGGGAACGAAGGCCACTTGCGATATTTAGAGCGCCCCCTTGGATCATCACCACAAACACAGCTATCCAACCGAAAATCTTCATTGGAATCATCTTCTCTGTTAGCCTATGTTGATGTTCATGTGCTGTGGCTATCTGATCCGGAAATGGTCTGCGTCTTGTAATGGTCCCGGAAGTACAACCGGTCCCTTTTCAGCACTAATGCACCGGAAAATCGTCCGTCGAGCTCACGTAGAAACAAGAAATGTTCAGAAGAAATGCTTCGTCGAAATTTCGTGCCCCGTGGAATAATTTCATTCGAGATTGAATCGAGTCCAGAAGACCACGTTCAGGTGGGATAGAGAGTCCTATCTGCGGGCTGTTCTCGTGCTAACAAATTTCTCTTTTCTGGAGATTATGCTCGTCGTTGTCGTGAAACTGGAGCAATGTTATCACACAGCGGACGATGAAGGTTGCCGAGACGCATGATTTGAGCGCACGGGAATCGACGTCGGCTGTTCCGGCAGCTGAGTTTTTTGGTCCTAACAGTGTAACGAGTGTTAGAGCTAGTATGCTCGCGTCTCGTCTGCAGTTCCGATACAGTTTCGACTCTCGCATTATATGATCGAGCGACCCTGACATCGCTTTTGATTTATGAAACTTGGGTTGTGACTCGGATGTGGAACCAGATCGACAAGGCGGAATTCAAGTAAGGCGGCCGCGAATGAATCGGAGATGGGAGCAGACATTGAAGCACAAGAAAGAAATCGAGCCGGCACGTACGTCCGACGAAACCGGGGAGAGCAGCGACCGATCGAGCCTTATGTTATCCGTTTTCGCTTTTCTCCATGCGATGTGTACGCACGATGAGATCGCGGTTCGTGAAAAGCGCGTCGCTCCGCACATCGAGTCCGGGAAGTCGATGCTTCCTTCGAGCAGTCGACACAGGATAAAAAAAAAAAAAGCGATTGCAGCGTCAGCGAGGGCCGCGAAAATGAAAGACGTTGCTCCGGTCGGGAATGTACAGCAGTCGCTTCTGTGCGGAGTGTCGAATATCTAAATTTGATCCTATCAACGATGCAAGAAAAGTAATGAAAATTCGCACAACACAAGAATTTACGTGGTTCAGCAAGGAAGATGTTCCGTCTATTTACGTCCGCGAGGAGAAGAGATCCGTTTCACTAATAACGTAGAAAAGTGTACAGCCACTCTTTCTCACCCCTACCTTTATTCTAGAGACCCATTTCGCCCTAAAATATATAGCAAAACCCTACATGGCACAAATTACAAAATTGCCCACATAACCTAAAATATTTAGCTTTCCCATAGAGATCCTTCTATGACTGAACATAAAACTAGAGATCCTTCTATGACTGAACATAAAACGCCTCTGGCGGCCCGGGGGCGCTGCCCCCACGACCCCCGCCGGGGAGGCCCCCAGACCCCCGCCTGCTCACCGGGGAGCAGGAACCCACGCTCTCCAGTCGTCAGGAGGCCTTTCGGAATCGCCTCAGGATCTCTCGGATAACAGAATACAAGACATGAACCTCAACACGGAGCACCTCGTAAATGAAACCGAGTTTGGCCGATGCTAAACTCAACGCATCCTCCGTAGATCCCTTGCGAAAATTTGAGTTCAGCAATGAGCTCGTGATTTAACCATAGAGGCAGGAAACCTATCTTTCTAGCGAACGTTCTTTGGACAATCGATTAAATGACACTTTTGAATAGTTAAAAAGATTATTTTCTCTCAATATTACAATAAAGTAATAATCGATTTAATATAAAATGTCGTCATATAATTACGATAATTAAGGATGTTTCTAGCCGTTTTCTTTCTATGTTATATATAAATGCATAATATCAATTAAGAATCACACCTTCATTTTGTTCAAAAAAGAAAAATTTACATGAAATAGGATACAATTATCGACCAAAAAAACCAACAATTATCGATCAAGTACGGAAACTGTTTAAATGTCTAAATCGAAGACTTAAGCTGATCGGTGGAGGGAGACTACATGAATATAAGGCATATTGAAACCTCACAAACAAGCAATGTGGGATGTTAAGGCTTTCTTCCCAGTGCAAACTAGATTAAGAAGGAGACGTGGAAATGACAATCGGGGAGCCTCACAAGGAGTGAATCTACAGAATCTAATACTAATATAATGTTAGAAAGGACCTAAAGGCTTAAACTGGTACAGGAGGACCACGTGAATATAACATCATGGGACCCCAATAGACAAGTGATGTGGGATATTTTCGTACAAAAAACTAACTTGAATTGCCATAGATACGCCACATGCACAATATGGATAATAACCGAGAAAATGAATATTCACCATCGTCCAGATGCAGCATAACTACAGTGTCAACCTTTATGAGCGACCACTTTGGCCCGGAAATTAATCAAGCACATCCAAAACTGAACTGGAAAATCGCGAGGCCAAAAGAAAATAAAGGGTGACCATTACGCTCTCTCTGTCTTGATTACAAGGGGGGTTGGGCAGATATCCGAGTGAACTCCTAATGTCCTATATTGGCTAGTGAAATGTGAATATCCAGCACGGAGTCAGAACCAAAGAGCACATTATTAATTGGCAAGTTTTCTCTAGGCCAAACTAAAAGCATGCAAAACCAAGACAACAAGCAGTGCCACAAAGAACAAGTACGCTGGTCGAATCATTCAATCACACTCTCTTACCATAAGAAGTCATGACCATGGAAAGCACTGGACCGCGATGCGCCTGCCGCGACAAGCCTTCCTTGAAAGGAGCATCCTGCTCAAATGGCTGGTCCATCTTCCAGGATCTGATCTTCCCATCCTTATGACCAGTCCACACCAGCCTATTCCCTGGCGGGAGAGAAGAGAAGTGAAGAGCGAAGTGCAGGATGGGAATGGGAGTGAAGAGCGAGAAGAGAGGCGAGGCTGATGGAAGCGAAGGGACAATAATGAAGACGAAGCAGAGAGAGAGAGAGAGAGAGAGAGAGAGAGAGAGAGAGAGAGAGAGAGAGAGAGAGAGAGGGAGGGACAGAAACAGACAGTTTCAAGTTCGTTGGTAGTTGTCGTGGCCACACGTGTGACGTCACTCGTGTGGCTTTTCCCGTGAAAATTTGTCAAAATGACAATGCCAGTTCAATATCTCTCCATTCACTTCCCCAAGACAGGACTCGCGCACATCCTGCTGGAAATTTCCGCGAGGTAGTTCACCGAAATGAGAAAAATAAGGGGAAAATTTCACAAAGTCAATTCGATTGTCAAACATGGAAAAAAGAAAGAAAAAAAAAAGTCAGCTATCTGAGGTTCAAATCCCGGACAGCCTCCTATCCTGAAAATTACTGATTGGCGATATCATGAGATCATCGCCTTATGAGATTACCCGGAATCTCTAAAAGGTCCGAAGATATGACAATTGTAACAGCAGAAAGTCAATCGTCCATCTCCTTTCAATTTTGACGGGCATATCTTTCTCTCTCAACATTGCATGATATAAGATATTGACTAATTAGGATGAGCATTTGGCAGCTTGAACAACGGGTTCAACAATACAACCTTGCTCGATGCTGTTGTTGCAAATCGGTAAAAACTTAAACTTACGTGAACAATTGCATTGATTGAATTTGTGATGGTAGGTAGAACTGTAAAAGTTTCGAAGTTAGAGGATACAATCAGGTCTTGCTCCTCCTTTTAATCAACTTTGGAAAGTGCTTTTCTTACTCAACAACAAGCTTGCACCCGAGCACCCAGCTCATTTTTCGAGCTGAATCAGTCGGCATGCTCAGTAATCAAGTCCAGAGTATCTGTACATATAGAAGTACCAAAAATTATAAAGACTGAAGGAGAAATGAGGGGAAGAGGGAAAGTAAATTTGCCTCTCGACTTTTACTTCTTGCTTGTAGTTTCTCTGATTGATGTACGACGAGATTGGAGGATTGAGAATGTTGTAAGATATCACAGCGAGGAGTTGTTTATTATCTTCTTCCACCTTCCAATCTTTTCCTTTCCCTGGAAAACAGAAAAGTCATGTTAGAGCTCTTTGATATATGAGCGCACATACTGACACACGTGATGAGACAGCAACCTTTTCACTCTTCTGTATGCAACAGGAAGAGGAGTGTTGCATACACTGCTGACAAATCTTTGCTTTCAACAGTTTCGGTAAAGCTTCATCAGTTAATCAAAGTCTAGACGATAAACCAGTGAGAAAGGGTATCACCACCAACAACGCTACTACACTGCTTGTCCCACCTTAAACAGCTTAACGAGATCGACCTAGCCTATTTGGATAGTAGAGTTCTCAAATATCGGGTGTAGAGTTTCGGTCCATTTTGTCCCTTATTCGTCTCGGTATGCCTTTTCAATATGAACTTTTCCAATTCTATCAAGTATCAATCAAGTGAATAATTGACTTAGAATGTCTCACAACATTACAAAGGCAGGAACACAACAACCAAAGGTTCATATAATAGAATCAACAACCAGAAGTTCATGTCAAGAATAGAAGCAACCATCTAAGCATACCTTGCGGGGTCCAACAGCCAGTTCATTAACCATAATGGAGATAGCCTTGAAGCCCATGGGACACAATACCTCCTCGTAACTGTACAAAACGAAATTAGCCTATTTTGCAGCCATAAAGCTAGTGGCATGGCATTTACTATAGCACATATTATGCAGCATTCCGCTCATGACACACTTATAAACTACACTGGCATCTAGACCACTAAAAAATGAGAGCTTACTCTGATATTGATACTTTATAAGGAGGTCCACCAATGTGATCGCTGATCTGCACAACCAATGAAGAACCATAAGATACATAGATATAACCTGACATATTCTTCAACAATCAATTATAACCATTGAATTTTCCAAGAACTATTATGGAGCATCCTATAATCAGTAGAAAACTAGGGATTAATATCAGAAACCTGGTCAGCTTTAAAAAAAGCTGAAAACTTCTTTCTATGAAAGAAGGAAAGAGAAAAGAGAGGAAAAAGGGGATAAAGAAAAAGAAACAAGCAAAGTGAAATGTGCTATAATTTTTTCACATCCTTCAGCCATCATAAGAATGTGGACCTTAATAGTATTCGCCAATTTCCCAAGTCCATTCAGAGACTGATTTACAGAGTCAAAGTAATTCTGTTCGATTGTGAAAAGAAGCATCGATAGAAAGGAATAAGAAAAGCATATTAGAGAGTTAAAATTAGAACCGGAAACATCAGGGTGATGAGCTCGCCATCTGGTCTCAATAATTCACTCATTCGCTCTGCCCATGCTCCTCTTATTTCTGGCTCAATTGCACAAAAGAACCTGCTCGTTGGGGGGAAAGGAAAAATCTGATCACCATTGATTTCCTCACAGAAATGGAAGAAGATGAAAAGAACACAAATGGCTTAATTTGACTTACGTGTAATCAAAAATAAGATCAAAGAGCTCTGTTGGATTCCAAGTGAAGAAATCCTCCTTCAGGAAGATGAAATGATTTGCATTTGGTGATGAAGAGAATAGCTGTCTCATGCGTAAGATGCTAAATGAGACTTTGGAAAAGAGAATCAGCTAAACAAACATCTCACTACGGAACACAAACTCAAATTCCAGACCACATCAACTTTTTTAAGCACATGATACACACTAACTGAAGAGAAAAACCATACAAAGCATATTCTGGCACGAGAGCTTCACTTTGGAATTTAAAGGCATTCTTCACTAATCTCAAGAATAAAAATAGATGTTGGCATGCTATATGATTGCCTAATTAATGAACCGACAGAATACAAAAGAGCTAATCCGCTATTATAAATGGATAATACAATAAACTAAATGGTACTCCGGTACCAAATCTTATGTGAAAACATAGAAGAGATATGCTCCACTCAAATCTTATCTACAGGTAAAGTGACATTACTAGCAAGCAGCGAAGCGACAGTCTCTTGGTTCTTAGCATGTCACAGTATTCTAACAGTCATAATTATGTGACAAAATTATGCAGCTGCTATGCCCATGATACTAAAGAAGGAAATGCGTCATTTCTAGTCCCTAGCATTTTCAGTTGATAGTAGCCACAGAAATTTATAGTCCCACAAGGGCAACTTGGAGCAAAAAGAAAAGGAAGGTGTCAGATCATCACCTTCATGGGATACTGAAATGAGTTGCTACATACAGGAAAGAAGAGGAAAACACAGTATACACTTATAATCAAAGAAATTGTGCTGATGCATATATTCAAGCCCAAGAAGTGTTCTTACCTGTATTGCTCTCTGTATGGCGATTTCTGATATGTCTATTCCCACAACAGAGCGGTCAGGACAGGCAATAGATACCACATCATAGCCCTGCCCTATCCAAGGAACCTTCGTAAGGGCCAAAACAGCAGTATTTGCTTTGGATCTCATAGGTTACTCGAATAATTGAAGAGATGGTACTGCTTACAGAGCCACATCCAGGAACAAGAGCCCTGCCTTTTGGAAGAGCACCCATCTGGTGAAGCTGCTGAATTATTGGGGTCGGTCGTCCTAAGTCCCAAGGGGTCAATCCTTGCTCCCAGCACTTCTCCCAACCATCTAATAAGTCAGGGACTAGAGTTATTATATTACCATATCAATTGTAATTCGTAAGTTTGACAGCCCAACATACCCCTACAGCCCCCACCACCCCCCCCTCCCCTCTCCCCTGGGAAAAAAAAATAATGATACAAAATAAATAACACACGGAGAATTCTTCCCCTTTGAAACCATCTTCCTAGAAAATGTTAACAAAAGAAGATTTACTTTTAGGCTCTTCAAACGGAGGCCTGGGGACCAGTGAAATTATATCAACCAATGTCTCCAACAACCTCATGGGCCATCTTTTGAAAACTATCTTGCCTAATCAAATTGTATAAAAGACTATTTTTGGGTCAAAACCGTTCATATGTCCTTAGAACAATGTTGACAGGACACAAAGCTTGTCGATACTTTCATCTGTCAAGACTTCATGCTTTTTATTATTACAAACGCATCCACCAAGGTGTAACCTCACTACTAAAGATATTTGATCTCTATAAATTCTCTTCCCTTGAAATTTATTTCCAGGGAAAGTACAAAAGGAAATGAACCCATCAGTGATACGGACTAAACTCACGTTGTCAACCTTCGATTTGACCAAACACAATCTTAAATTCATCCTCAGTTGCTATTTCTACGGCTGCATTGGAAGTTCTGTTAGGATTTTGACAGTCTTCCGTCCAAAAGGACGTCTTTTGAACTTCTGCAATAACATAAAACGCCACTCCACATGTCCCATTTGATGGTTTGGTATTAAAATCTTCCCCCAAAGCACGTTTGCAAAATCAACGTAACTCTACGAGAATTCTCGACCTTACTCTGCTTCTGCAATAACAAAAAACTAGCGTCGAATTTCCTCAAAATTGAGCTGGAGAGATAGAGAAACGTCAATCAATCGCCAACACGCATTCAACAAAACCGTCCGCGCAATCTCGGAGCAAACCCCTCATAGACAAAGGCGTGCAAGGCAACACAGCGGCGACTTCAACCCGGCCGATACAACAGTAAACGCGCGGGAAGAAGTAGAATCACCGGAAGAAACGAAGCAAAGCGCACGGAAATCGAGAGAGAGCTCCGAGGAGTACCAGTCGACTCTCGGTGGACGAGTTGCTTGATCCGATCGACGTGGGTGGCGAGCTTGGACTTGGAGGCGCCGCCGCCGCCGCCGCCCTCCCCGCCGTTCGCGGCGGCCATCCGGGGGGCGCCGGCCTCCGCTCCGCCCCCGCGCCGGCGGCCGCGGTTGCAGTACGTCGACGACGGAAACGGGATCGCCAGTCGCAGAGCTCGGATGGATGATGCTACAAGGGAAGCCGAAGACGAAGAAGGAAGAGTAGCGAAAGAGAGAGTTCGCATTTAGCGCGAGGCGACGTGCTTAACGCCCACTGTTTTGCGCTGATCCTTGTTTAAAATCCGCGAGCCGAGTAACGGCGGAAGACGAGTATTAGACAACTGTAATTTTGATTTAGATGGGATAAGGACACAAACAGTTAATAAATTTTGGCTTAATATGTAATGTAATTTCCAAATTTTTAATTTGTTCAATGTAGTTCTCGAACTTTAGACTAATGTTCAATGTAGTCCCTGAATTTTTAATTTGTTTGACGTGATGTCCGAACTTTTTGTACATGTTTAGTGTAGTTCTTGAATGCAGTCCCGGACTTTAATTAATGGAATGACTACATTGAATATTTTCATATAGTTCATGGACTAAATTGAATATGTACCAAAAGTTCAGAGATGATATCGAACAAATTAAAAGTTCAGGGACCACATTGCACATTGGGTCAAAGTTCAGGGACCTTATTGAATAGATTAAAAATTCACGGACCACATTACACATTGGGTCAAAGTTCAGAGATTGTTTCTATCATTTCCCCCGATTTAGAACTGATAAAATGGGCCGGGCCGAGTTGGGCATTTTACCCGAAAGTATTTACCCAAGCCTGTTCATGATTTTAGACAACAATATTAATTATTTATTTGGATTTTTGTTTGGTCTATCATCGGTGTAAGAGATTGCTTTACATGTTCGAGATGTGGTTTTCTTTGAGCGTCAAATCATTGGAGACGCTAACGAACCAAGGAGGTCAAAGAATGCAGCTCGGCATTACGTTAATTTCAGCAAATCCTCTTATCGTGTTAGGTGGAAATCACCAAGGTGAAGTGCAAGGAAGTTGTGAAAATCTTGAAGCCGATGAGTCTACGAGAAATGTTGATTCCTCGTGAAAATAATTAAGCCAAAACAGTAAGTTGAGCAAGAACAACCCTTTGAGCAAGAACATCCCTTCATGCCTCAAGTAAGAAGACTAGTAAGAAGGCATAGACCTTCACAGAGATATCGGCCCCTGCGAATATGTGTTACTCACGGGTGCAGGAGAGCTAGAAACTTATCAAGAGGCCATGTCATGTGACAAAAAGAATGAGTCATGAAGCCATGTAAGAGGAGCTCTAATTCTCGCATAAGAACCACATATTTGAATGGGTGAAATTGCCTATGGGCAAGAGAACACTAAAAAAAAAGTGGGTGTATAAGTTATAAGCCTTAATACAAGGTTAGGCTTGTTGTGAATGGCTTTTATCAAAAGAAGAATTGATTTTGAAGAGTTTTTCTCATGAGTGGTAAGAATGACTTATATCTGAGTTGTTTTTGGTTTGGCAGCTAGGTTTGAATATAAATTGAACAACAGCTTTTTTTTCCGTTGAGACTTAGAAAGAGAAATATTTATGGAGCACCCTAAAGGGTTTTAAAGCTGAAAGTAAGGGGCATCTTCTAAGCAGGTTGAGGAAAAGCTTATGTGGCATCAAGTAAGCGTAACACAGTGCTGCATGAAGTTTGAATCATTAATGAAAGGTCATGATTATGGTAAGATAAATTCTGATTCTTGTGTCTTTAATCTTTAGATAATGGGTTTACTATCCTCCTACTATATATGGATGATATATTGACGGTTGGTCATGATGCTGAGATAATCAAAAACTTGAAAAATGAGTTGAGTAAAGTTTTAACAATGAAGATTTATGACTAGCTAAGCAAATCATTGGCATGAAAATTACTCGTGGCAAAAAGAATAGGATACTTTGGCCAAGAGAAGTATATTTAAAAATGTTAGAGAAATTCAACATAAGCAAATATAAATCGGTAAGTACTCAACTTGCTGGCCACTTAAAGTTGAGAAATAAAGAGTGTTTAACAAGTGAGAAAGAGATGATGAAAATTTCTTATGCACTAACCGCAAGTAATTTGATATATGCCATAAATTTGTACAAGAGTGAATAGTTCTCATGCAATTGCTGTTGTGAGCAGGTTTCTCTCAAGGTATAAAAATTAGACTTTTGTAAAAAATGGATTTTGAGATATCTTAGAGGCACTTTGAGAGTTTTCTTGTGCTTTGGAATTGAGAAGCCTCAGTTGAGTAGCTACTCAAATGCATGTTATACCAATGATATTATCTCTCAAAAGTTCACATTATGTTACATGATGACTTTTACCTGTGAAGCGGTTTTATGGCAATCATGACTAAAAAAATGTGTCACTTCACCAAAGCAAGTAAGGAATTCTTGTGCGTGAAGAAATTCTTACAAAAGTTGAACTTGATGCAAGAAAATTTTGTTTTGTATTGTGATGTACCTTAGTAAAGATGTGGTGTTGCACTCTAGATCGAAACGTATTAATGTAAAATATCATTGGATGCAAGAGCAATCAGAAAAGAAGCTTTTTCTACTTGAGAAAGTTCACACCAATGACAATGGATCCGAAATAATGATCGAAACCTTGCCCATGGTGAAATGTGAGTCTTGTAGAAATAAAGTGAAAAGTATTAGAAAAGTCATAAATATTCTGCAATGATGCCAATTGAGATCTAAATTTTTTGTTTTTATGCTAATTCAGTCCTCCCGGCTAATTTTGATTGGATATTACTGACGTGGACATCGGCCAGTCTACATGGCACCGCCGGTGCTAACATAGACAATTTTTAATAATATTTTAATATTTTTTCGATTTTTTAAATTTTTTTCTTTTTTTCCTTGTTTTCTTTCTTTTTTTTCTCCTTTCTTCTACCTTTGGCTGGTGACCAAACACCGAACATTGGCCATGGCGGTCGCCTAGCCTCGCCTGGGTGAGGCCGCCGTTGCCTACCATAGGCAAGGCCTGGCCAACCCTCGCCTGAGCGAGGGCAGGCAAGGCTCGGCGAGGGTCGGCCTGACCCAAGCCAAGGCGGTCTCGCCAGATTTGGCGAGGGGAGCCCTCACCAGGGCATGCGGGCAATGGTGGCCTCGTCCCGGCAAGGCTAGGCGGCCAGCCATGGCCACTAGCCGGTGTTCATCATAGGCCAAAGGTAGAAAAAAGGAAAAAGAAAAAAGAAGAAAAAAATCAGAAAAAATATTTTAAAAATTAATAAAATATTAAAATATTATTCAAAATTATTCACGTCAGCGCTAGCGCCGGCGATGCAACGTAGACCGGCCGGCATCTACATCATCAATATCTGATCAAAATTAGCTAAAATGATTGAATTGACACAAAGGCAAATAGCTTAGGACTCATTTAACACAAAAAAAAAATTTATGACTAAATTGACACCAATACAAAAAGTTTAGGACTTTTTTGGTACGATGAAACTTCCCTCGTAAGCCGGAAGGGGAGATCTGATGGGCGAGGTCTGCCTCATGGGACTAGCTCATCATAAACTAAAAGAAAAGGCAAAAAGAAAATAAGAGGAGTTGAACGTTCATGGAGTGGGGACGTTCACTAAAGAAACAGAAAAGAAATAGATGCAGAGAGAGGGTAGCTTTAGAGAGAAGAGGCGATCAGATTTAATGGTCAAACCTTGTCGGAATTGGTTGGAATTTTAGTATGTTGTTCGTGAGATCAAAATGTACGAGTTGATTGTTTTTGTTTGTTGAAATCCTTTTCCAAATTGTCTCCAATTTCTCTGGCCATACTTAGATCTTCTTGCTTCTTTGTATTATTACACTTTTGTACCGACGAAATATTGTTGTATTGTTGATCTGTTGTGTAGCAACTCAGTCCGATGAGGGTGGGGACTGTTTGTCGGGATCAGAGAGTTCGAACAATAAGCAACTCTCAGCAGGTTTTTAGAATGATGAAGGGAATGAGAATAAACCGAATTACGCATTGAATAGAGCGAGGGCATTCTTGGGATATACATGTAAAATTGGAATTAACTCACAAGAGACGCTTTTTGATGCAACGGCAACGCTTAGTATTAAAATTTCAATATTAACTGTGCATGAGTGGCCTCTTAAAAAAGTGGACACCAATACGCCAAATGACAAAACCATGAGTCTCGTCATATGACGGGTTAAAACGCACAATACCTCGAATGAGTTAATATAGAGATATCACAACATGACATTAAAGTGGGATCTCCTCCAATAAGTGTGGTTCGAGGACGAATCACGAGAAAGCCGATGGGCTTGTAAAGACCCGTTCTGACAAAGGCTAGGAGTGTTCGCTGAGGTCAGAAGACCCATTCCGGCGGCTGCTGGCAGGCTTTCATGAAAATTTTAATTCTTTTGAGTTAAATGAGAATTAGCCCTTCACCGTTTAGGACACCACAATCGTCACTACACACTAATAACTTCCAGACACACAAATTCCAAAAAAAATTAAAAAAAAATACGGGTTGAGTACGACAACAGAGGGTTGACTACCAGTGTTCGTTGGCCCAGGTGGTAAGGAGCCTGAGTTCCCTTAAGCAAGGTCTCGAGTTCGAGCCTCGTGTAAGGAGCAAACGGCACCGGGAGAGCCACCCCTTGCGGGTCCAACAGTGCTCGATTCCGGATTTAGTCGGGAATACCACGGATACCGGAAGGTCATAAACAAAAAAAGAGAAGAAGAAGAAGAAGAAGAACAGAGGGTTGACTCTTTCAAAGGTTTTACACAACCGGAGAGCAAAGGGGGATTAACGTACCTTCAGGAAAGCTGTGGATCAGCTCCTGGAAGGCTGATAAATTCGGCAATAACGGTGTCGCCTCGGTCTCCTCTGTTTCTCCCTGCGGTTGTTCGGTCGCCATCTCTCGGAACCCGCCGCGAACGAAGAATGAAATGCCGGTGAATGTGGGCTGTGAATGCCGAAGAGCCGACGTTCATAAAAACAAACTTGAGCAAGAGGGGACCGCTTGATGAGCCAAAATTCAGGGACCATGTCACCCGCAATATTACGAATTGTATAATGGCATCGCTCATGGTGTTACGAATTGTATAATGGTATGGTTAGACTTATATGTTCGCTCATGGTGTTACGAATTGTATAATGGTATGGTTAGACTTATATGTTGGGAGGCGTACAAAGGAAGAGGGGACCACGTGATGAGCGAGCCAAAATTCAGGGATTGTATCGCCCGTGATGTTACGAATTTTATATAATCGTATGGTTGGACAGTAACGGAGCGTCGGCTGGTTGACATTGCCCCAATCCACTTGCCGACGGCGACGCTCCATCCACTTCCTTCTGTGAAGTAGATTGATAAAAGAATAGGGCATATTAGCTCATTATTTGAAAAAAAAAATTCAGCTCAGCGGGTGACGGAGGTGTGCATCGGTCTCGGTCCAATCCGTAAACCGAACCGGCCAATTCTGGTTGGTTCCCGAAGAGACCGGTTCAGTTCCTAGTAACACATAAGGAATCGGACGGACAGGACCACTCGGATCGGACCGACAGACCGGGCAAGATTTATTGTTTTTCTTATTTTTTTATTTTTAAGCAAACCCTAATTAGTAAGTTATATTTTTTCTTTTACTGTTGGGACTCCTACTTGCAAGGAATAGAAGAACAAAAGAAGAAGAAGAAATCACCAGTTCGACAAATTGGGAACCAACGTTGCCCAGTTCGGTTCTAGGGTGGGAACCGATCACACCTAGGATGTAATAATCCATGCCATCAAAATAACACCCGATTCGTCGTTCGAGCAAACGAAGAATGGCTACATTGGAACATTGACCGATATAGCTTAGGTACCATATCGAACAAATTCGAAGTCTAGGAAAGACATTTCGCGATGAGCCAAAATTCAAGGACCGTTCATCAATTTCGAACACAAAAAACTCGGGAACGACAGCGACATGTGATATTCAGAGCGGCTCTTGGAGCTTCACCACAAACACAGCTCTCGGACCGGAAATCTTCATTGGAATCATCTTCTTTGTTAGCCTGTGTTGATGTTTATGTGCTGTGGCTATCTGATGCGGAAATGATCTCTATCTTGTGAGTGTTGCCAAGAGAAATGGTCCCGGAAGTCCGACCGCTCCTTTTCAGCTCTAATTCACCGGAAAATCGGCCATCGAGCTCACGTGGTAACAAGAAATGTTCAGAAGAAATGCTTCGTCGAAATTTCGTGCCCCGTGGAATAATTCATTCGAGATCGAGTCGAGTCCAGAAGACATGTTCAGGTGGGATAGAGAGTCTTATCTGCAGGCTGTTCTGCTACTAACAAATTTCTCTTTTCTGCAGATTTTGCTCGTCGTTGTCGCAAAACTGGAGCGTGTTATCACGCAGCGGACGATAAAGGTTGCCGAGATGTATGATTTGAGCGCATGGGAATCGATATCGGCTGTTCCTGCAGCTGAACTCTTGGTTCTAAGAATGTAACGAGTGTTAGAACTAGTATGCTGAATTCTTGTCTGAAGTTCCAATACAGTTTCGACTCTTGCATTATAGGAGGGGCTAGTCATGTTGTCTCGAGACTTGTAATCGGCTAAGAACGGCGCGAATATCTCTCCAACCGTCACGTTACGTATCATAAGATCGCCAGTCGAGCCCTGAAATCGCTTTTGATCGATGAAACTTGTGTTGCTCTTCAGGGTGTTTGTCTTGCTCATGTGCAGCTTTAGGACTCTGCCATTACATGCCATCGATCATTGACTGCCCTGCAAGTATCACAGATGAATCTGAGATGGAAGCTGGCATTGAAAGCACAACAAGAAATCGAGCCGGCACGTACATCTGAAACCGGGTGGAGCGCAACAGAATGGGTTAAGTCTTATGTTGTCGGTTTCGCTTTTCTCCGCGCGATGTGCGCGCACGATTCGTGAAAGCGTGTCTCGTCGCACATCGAGTTCGGGGAGTCGATGCTTCTTCGAGCGGTCGAACAGGACAAAAGCGATTGCAGCCCCGGCGAAGGCTGCGAAATGAAAGATGCAGCCCCGGTCGGATACGTAAACAAAACCGAGTTCGGCCGATGCTACACCCGATGCATCCTCCGCGGCGTCCACGCATATCTCGCGAAGCTACAGGCATGCTTAACCGCGACGCGCTTGGCAAAGCTTTGCTTCTTCATCGTTAGATGATGGATCTCCTGGCAAATGGAGTTCTGCAATGAACTCCTGATATAACCATAGAGAGTGAGGAAAGCTCTTTGTCTAGCTAACGTTCTTTGACAATCGATTCCCTAAATCTTAGAAGAGTTTAAGATTATTTTCTCTCAATATTATAATAAAATAATGGATTTCATATAAAAATTGTGGATATAATTCCGATAATTATGATTTTTTTAGTCGCTATCGTTTTTTTATATTATATAATCGTAAATGCCATAATTTTCGTACGGCGCTCGCCGGAGTGCCATAACATTTTTTTTTACCACTTGAGTGTCATAACGTAAAAAAAAAATATTTATTTGAATGCAATAACTTTTTAAAAATATTCACTCAAGTGTTGGAAATATGACGTAGTATTGCACTTGTCACCGTTTTTAAAAAGTTATGATATTCGAGTGATCAATTGAAAAGAAGTTATGGCATTCAAGCGAGCCCCATGCAAAAAAAAAAATTACGACACTTGAGTGGTGATCAATTGAAAAAAAAAAGTTATGGCACGACTCGGCCCCCCAATCAGAAAGAAATTTTTTCTTCTCTCTCCTGGTTATGCCCCGCGTTTAACATCCCGATCCCGGAGTCGAGACAAGCCAGTTTAAGGACTTACTTAGGTCCAAACTATAGCCTCGTTTTTGTTAAAAAGGAAAAAAAGATTTTGATGAAATGGGATACAATTTCACGAATAATTTATAAATAGAGTACATATTAATTTTTGCATATTCATAATAAAGTTACATACTAGAATAGAATCTGATTCCCGGCTTGCCACTTCCACTACTATTGCTTCCTTCTTCAACCTCCGTCGCCCTCGGTGCGCACATAGCAAAAACGTATTCTAGAGAGAGAGAGAGAGAGAGAGAGAGAGAGAAATGGCGAGGGCAGTGAGAGGAGTGATTCTGGACGAGTCGGTGCTGTTGGCTGCGCTCGGAGATGGCAGCTCTCTTCTGCAACCGGACGCCGACCCTCTTCTCAGCAGGCTTCGCCACTCGCGGATCCCCACGGTTCTCTCTCTCTCTCCCCTTCCTTCCTCTTCTCAGGCCGCCGTTTGCGCGTGTGGCATTGGTCGTGGGCTCGCATCTCGCGCGCCCGCGCAGGTCTCGCCGTTTCGGCCCCATCGTCGTCGTCCCCATTCCTCACTTGGGTCCTCCTCAAATTGGAGACTTGCCGAGTGATTTGGAAAATTTTGACTGCTGCTCCGTTGTTCCCTTTCCCTTTTTATTCCTCACACTTTATTTTCCATGGAAGGCCGTGGGGGTCCCTCTTCGTCTTCCCTCGCCTTTGATTCTGACCGTGGATCTTGCAGCGTTCGCGGGCTCTTTTTAGCTGGTTTTAAGGGGTCATTGTATTGAGCTGTTCGTTTATCTTCGCAGGGAATCCTGAACGAGGACGACGCGTCGGCTGAGAAGGTTGTTTTGTTGTGCCTGTCTGGTTTTTCAAGATCTGAATTACTGGGGAAAATTGAAAATTGGAAAGCTTAGCCTTTTCACTTTGGCGTTGATATTTTCGTTTTCATAGAAAGAAAGAAATGCCTTTGCATGCTATGCTCCGACTGCACCTGGTGTGAATCTCGGATTCTCAAATGGATTTTTCATGCAGCTTACAGAGTAATCTGATTTTGATCATTATATTGCATCCGGAAGTGTATGTTGGAAGTGCATGGAAATTCACTCCACCGAGCAATTTACGGATGGATTGTTAACTTCTGCTACCTTTAGCTTTACTGCTTGTGCGTCCCTTATCTCGATTACAGAGCTATTTTCTGATTGTATGTGCTTGTCTTTGCATACCCATTGTGTAAGGTTGCAAGTTCATGCTCTGCCTCTTGCCATTGTCCATGCATTAATATGTGTGCATCAACTCTTTCTTAATTATAACAATTTTGTCTGCTTGATGTAGTGTAGGTGGGCCTTTTGAAAAAGCTGGCAACAACATACTCCTTGGATTACTTTACCTTCAATCCTTACTCCATAGATGATGCCACACGTGATATTCGCGAAGCATGGGGGGAAACTGAAGGGCATATTCTGTACGTGATCTCCGAGACAAAGAAGGAAGCCTGCGTTAGATTGAGAAGCTGCAGTTGGTTGACTACTGTTGTCAGTAAGTGGCATGATATTTGCTTCTTGCTGGCTTTTCCGTATGTTGTAGGAGACGGTGGAGTTAGGCAAAGGACATAAAACTTTGGTTTACAGCACAAAAAATCATGTCATGCATTATGTAAGAAGTGGATGGCATGCTTCGCAGTATTATGTAGATCTCTCTTATCGAAGTAACTTGTGCAATCTAGATCTTGATCTCATTTTCCTCCTTGGCAACCTTCTAAAATTTGAAATGCCTGTTACCTAACTTAGTAGTTCTTCGATATTACTTGGTGATGGCCATAAAACTAAGGCATTTAGAATGAATATATGAGAGTACTATTGCATGCTGGAAGCATCATTTTCGTGAGTAACAATGCATACCACTTGCTTCTTTTACAAATTGACTTGAGTGACCACTTGCTAATTTGTTTGTAAATGTATAATCATACATTCTTGTTATATACAAACACACATATTTACATACATGCATCAATTATGAAACATATAAACTTAACTGCTTGATTAGGCTTGCGAGCCGTGCTAGTCTTAATTATTGTGAATCTCCCCTTGATTGGATTGATAGTTTTGCCACTTGCACGTGATAGGATGGAGTTGAGCTCAAGCAATTCGATTGTTGAGTTTTGGCGGGTAGACTAGTTTAATCACAGGTCACTATCAAAACATGGCTTCTGGTTTTCTTTCTGCCATATGCGTTCGTGTTGCATGAGTAGCTATTAATCAATTAAAGCTAAAAGAGATCTTCGATCTTATCAGACTATCCATCCTTTTTGCTTGTATTTATATTTGGGCAAAATCCACCAAAAACCCTAAACTGTGCCCATTGCCCTAAACTTTTTTCTGTGACACCAAAAATCCCAAACTTGTACTTGTGTTGAACGTTTACCCTCCGTTCTATCAATGAGAATCGTTAAAAATCTACCTACACGGACACCGGAAAGCAAATAGTGACATGGCGCCCACATGACTTCAATAAAATAAAAATGATGTTGTTTTGGCTAAAAAAGTATCTAACGGAACCTTGACGGAGGGTAAATGTGTCACATAGGTACAAGTTTGAGGTTTTTTATATCACAAGAAAAAGTTTAGGGTAAATATGTTACAATGGGCATAGTTTGGGGTTTTTATTGTCACAAAAAAAAAAGTTTGAGGTAAACGTGTCACAGTGGGCATAGTTTGGGGTTTTTTATGGCTTTTTCCCTTTATATTGCAATTCTGGCAAATATGCCGATTCAATTTAGTCAGGGTGTTAGCTAGCCAACATTGTTATTGGTCTTTTTGTCTAAACTGCTAATAGTTTTCCAATTCAGAACTGAACAGCAGCAATAAGTGTGAGAATTGGGGCTTGCATATTAACATGCTTGGAGAACTCCCTCTGACTATTTGCAACTTAATTAAAAAGGTAGTTTATTGCTACTCCGCCCATTTCGTAAAGTTATAGCTCTTCCTATCTTCTTGTCACTTTAAGTGCATTCCTAATAATGTGATGCTATTTCTTGTTCTTAATGCACATTGAAGGAAAGTGGGAATGATGTCCTGAAAATTGGTTACATTATGAAGCCATCACGTGAAGAAGACTTTGCTAAGGTGAGCACCGATGGTGGAGGTAAGTTGGAATCATTAATAAAAGGAATTCTAGGTGCTATGTAGAAAACTTACCCAGCCATGACATTATGTTTATCAAAAGATTAAATCATGGAGTAGGATACTTTTTCTAGGGTGTAGTACTTCATGGAATGTCTGATTCTCCGTATGTTACTTGGCCCTGAAGAGCCTTGGCTCTCCAGCACCTTCATTTAGTTTCTGAAACTCATGAAAGAAAAAACATAGAAATTCCGATTCTTGTTATCATCTGAAACAGCTGAAAGTGCTTCTAATGGTGCTGTCATATATCTATGGATTCTATTCTGCTGCTCATCCTTATTCTGAAGTCTCCAGACTTTGGGGGTAACTTTTACAATGATGGTTTTGGTAACTGTTGCAGAGAGGAGCATTCCCAATGTATCCTACTCAAAATGGGCTGTGTTTTGTGCCTCTCATCTTCAAACTCCCGCTGGCTTCTCAATTACAAGGGGTCGACTTGGTTCTTCATAAAGCTACTGATGAAATAGTATCCTTCAACTTGAACAGCTTTTCAGAACTAACTGAAAGAGTTACTTTCAGTGAAGGCATGCAAGAACTGAAAAGGTAACTTCTACTACTATTGGCAATTTGCATATAAATGTTTTATCTCATTGTATAAACTGCTGCAACACATATTTAAAAGTTGTTTGGATTTTTTCTATTTTCTCATTTGATTTTGATGACAAAATTTCAATTAGAATGATCTATATTTATTTAATATGCTTATCTTATCAAGTGCGAGATGCTGTTACTTAACTCATAATGCGAGTGAGCT